TTTTAAAAAAAGTTTTTTTTTCAAATTAAAATGGGGGGGGGGGGGGGGGGGGGGGGGTCGATGGACCAACATTTGAGTAGATAATCTTTGTCAAAGCATTATGAGTACAGTTTTGGTTTTGCGAGATGAGTGGGGTTGAAAATTGTGTTAATCATTACACGATCAGGAATTCTTTCATTCTGTTCATTTTTCTTTTCCTAATTTGACACTGACAATGTTATACTGCTATATTGTGCAGCTATTCCCATACCTTGAAAAGGTTGTTTTCTTAGATGATGATGTTGTAATTCAGCGTGATTTGTCTCCTCTCTGGGAAATTGACCTCAATGAGAAAGTTAATGGAGCTGTTGAAACTTGTAAAGGTGAAGATGAGTGGGTAATGTCTAAGCGATTTAGGAATTATTTCAACTTCTCTCATCCTCTTATAGCAAAGAATTTGAATGCTGAAGAATGTGCTTGGGCGTATGGGATGAATATATTTGACTTGGGTGCATGGAGAAAGACAAATATCAGAGACACTTATCATAGCTGGCTTAAGGAGGTAACATTCAATTTCTCCTTTTATTTTTCTAAGTAATCAGATGTTTGCTTTAACTGCTTTTTTTTTTTTTTTTTTTACGAGTGGATTTGAATTTAATAGGGTTATGAACCCTTCCACTACTGGTATGTTGTAAAGCATGTTGTTTCCTATATATTTTACGTGGGGAACTTACAGCTCTTTAGAATGTTTGCATAACCTGAATACTTTGCTTTAACTCACTAGCTTGAGTTAATACGTCTTACATCGTGTTTTGATCTTTCCATGAGCCTAATGGTTGTATTAGTGCTTGTGCCTAATGGCTAAGACCCCTATATGTTAGCTATATCAATATAAAAAAATAGATGAAATTCATGCTTCCTGAATGACCATAGACTAGATAACTGGCAATATCAAACTTAAAATTTGATGAAAAGACAATTAAGGCAGATACTCTAGTTTTCTGGAATGTGCTTGTTTTATTCGGGCTGTTGGTTGTTGCAGAATCTGAAGTCTAACCTGACATTGTGGAAGCTTGGAACTCTACCTCCTGCTTTGATTGCATTCAAGGGTTATGTTCATCCAATTGATCCCTCCTGGCACATGCTTGGATTGGGCTATCAGCAAAATACCAACATTGAGAACGTGAAGAAGGCAGCGGTGATTCACTACAATGGCCAGTCAAAACCTTGGTTGGAGATTGGCTTTGAGCATCTCCGGTCATTTTGGACCAAGTATGTTAACTACTCCAATGATTTCATCAGGAATTGCCACATCTTGGAGTAGTAATTAATTAATGAATGGTGAACTATGGAAATAATGGATGAAGATGGAAACATTATGGGTTTTGTTCGATGTCTCAACATATTCTGTTAACAGAGAAGAGGAGAGACACAGAACCTGGCCTAGATTGTTGATATTCCGGATTTGCTCCCTTTCCCCTACTCTTGAAGGATAGGACTCGTATCGCTGGCCGGGGCATGAGTTTTATTCTTTCAGTTGTAAATTAGCATTCCATCGTCAATATTCTGATAGGACCTAGGATATTATTTTTGACCTCCATAATGGTTTTTTTTCCCGTGGTGCTTAGAGGGAATAATAGTTCGCAAAAATTGGCAGAAAATGCTTATGATCGCCGTCTATCATGCAACTTGGTGCATGAAAAGACGATGCAGGTTCTTCTGTAAGGCGCTACCATGGATACTATTCTTTTCGCAATATTGTGTTTATTTTCAAATTAGTTTTATTGGTACTCCCCTCCATTTTTTTTTTTTGCCAATTTATATCTTCATCGTGACTTTAGTTGGTAGGCCGTGTAGAGTTTGGGAAATACATGGAAGTGGCCTTTAGAAAAGGACCACTTTTCCAAAAGGGTTGTGCTGTGTGTACACAACGATGTACATACAGCCTTACACACCCCTCACATGGAGGGGGGGTCTACATGTAATAAAATATTCGTGGGCCCCCCTCCATGTGAGGGGGGTGTAAGGCGCAGCTTTATTTCTTTCCAAAATGACCTTTGATCAATTTACATACCAAAAATGCTCCCCATTTGGATATTGCATAATATGATACTATAAGATAGAAAATCCTCTATTTTAGTCCTTAAAATTAAATATTGGTTGAAATTTGATAGTTTTTATTTAATTTATTTGATTAATATTTTTAATTTGATTTATTTGATTTTTGTTCGCTTTAAGTAACCCCTCTTATTGGTGTCAGAGTCATAGAGATCATGAAAAAACCTATAAAAAATAGATTACTTGAAGAAGTAAAAATCTTTAGATTTAGATTAACACTTAGGATCCGTTTGATTACAAACATGGAATTTGGGTGGAAATAAAATGAATTCCAGAAAATTGAATTGCCTAGAAATTGTTTTTCTGGAAATTGTTAATTTATTGTGTTTGATTAGTATAATTTTTCACGTGAAAAATATTAAAATAAAAGTATTTTTTGGTGTTCGTTTGATTTTGTTTTACGTGAAAATTGTCGATTAAATGAATAAAATTTACTGGTATTGAGGATAGAATTTGTTTCCATTGCCAAAAAAGACAAAAAACAAAAAAACCCAATAATATATCTTTTAGTGTTCGTTTCGCTTTATTTTACATGAAAATTGTCAATTAAAGAGAATTTTTTTTTACAATAATTCTTAGAATTTGTTTCCTTTGCCAACCAAAAAATAAAATAAAAAATTTAAAAATTGCTACAGTAACAGGGAAAATGAATTCTCACCATCCTCAATTAGATGGAAAATATCTATGTGGCAACAAAAGAAAGAAAATCAATTCCATGGAAAATAAATGGTATCAAACACCATTAATTGAGTAAAAGATGAAAAACTTATTCCATTTTTTATGGAAAATGATTCAATCAAACACTACCTTAGATTTTATATAAGTTTAATAGATAACAAATTAATTATTAGAAAATTAAAGGAATATTTAGATTATACATCTTTAAAATAATAATTGATTATAATACACAAATATTTACATCTTGATAAAAGCATAGAAATCATGGAAATTAAAATAAGAAAAATATATAATTATTGGCGTTTAGAATAAGAGAGAGGTAGTTATATATTTTTACAACCTATTCATAATAGATTAAAAATAATGACACTAACAATAATTAAAGAGTTGCCTAGAGAAATAAAGAAACAAATATTAAAAAAATTAATAATAGAAAAAATAAAGGATATATATACATATGAAAAAATTATTAATATATATGAAGATGAAGAAAATAATTTATATTACAAAGAAAAGTATGAGTGCAAGTGATAATACACATTTAAAATTGAATAAATTACTTATAAAAATGGAAAAAAAATACAAGAGGAAATACGAAATATAATGTTAATACCAGAAGGAATGAGAATATTAAATCATAGACAATTAATAGAATTAAAATGTGAAAGATTAAGACTTGAGGTTAGATATTTTACTATAGTAAAAGAAGTATTAGTAGATCCAGATACAGCTGAAAGAAGATTTGGAAAAATAATAGATAAAAGGGAAGATAAAAAATACAAATTAACCTATAAGTTAGAAATAAGAAAAAAATAAGCTGTCAATAAGTAAATATATGGAAGAATTAAAATCATTACTAAAAATGTTAATAAATGATGTACAAGATTTAAGAAATGAATTAAAAAAAAAACAAGAAACGATATAAATATATTAAAAGTTGAAATTAGAGAATTAAAAGAAAACAATAAAAAAAATAGATAAAAAACTTATAGAAAAAGAAATGACTCGAATAGGAAAGAAACATATAGAAAAAGAGAATATAGTAATAGAAATAGGAAGTATGGATGATGAATTTAGAAAGAATATATTACCAAAAATATTAAAAGAAGAAGAAGAATTTAAAAAAAAAACGTTAGGAAAATTAAAAGTAGAAGAAAAATAAGATAAAAATGAATGAAAAGTTAGATTTACTAATAGAAAATTTTGATCAACTAATCTTAATCGATATAAATGAATACCAAATTTTAATAAATACTGGAGAAAAACCTAATCCAGCAAGAACTTCTAAACAGGAATTACATGATACAGATGAAAGTTATGCATCTATATTTAATAAACCATATAGACAATTCTATGATAAAATAAGAGATAGACAACCACCTAAAAGAAATAAATATAAAGGTATGTTTGAATTAAATAATAATTATGATAAATCAATTAATCATAGATAAACAAAACTAGATTTAAATTGTAAAATAGATACTAAAAAAGTCTTATTAATTTGAGCAGAGTCAATGATATTATTATTTTTATATAATAAAGATGACACATGAGAAAGTATTGAAAGAAGAATAGATTTCTTAATAGCATCTTTTGAAGGAGATGTTAGAAATTGGTGGGAATAAATAAGCAATGATACAAAAACATTAATAAAAAGAAATGTACAAATAGAAATCATTAAGTCAGATAGACAAGGTATAGAAAAGTTAGTATAATATATTTCAGATGAATTTTTAGGAGAAAATTAGATAAGAAATGCTGAAGGAGAATCAATAAGAGAAAAAGATAATGCTAGAATAAAATTAATAAATTTAACAATATGTGATATGTGTAAAATTAAATAATATACTTGTGAATTTAAAAATTACTGTTATGTTCAATTTTATAGTAATGAAAATCAAGAAGTAGACCAAGATATGTACTATAATAAGTTACAAGGTTCATGGGGAATATATTTTAAAATAGAATTTAAAAAATATGTTAGAGATAATATTGGAATACCTAAAACGTTAGGTTCAAGAATAAAATTTTTATTTGAAAGATTTGCATATATATGTCAACAAAGACAATTAATAAAAAAATCAGGAAAATTAACTAAAATATGTTATGAAGATATGGAAACCCTATGTAATGAGAATGTAATCCTTAAAGTAGAATTAATAAAAGAAAGTATAGAAGTAGAAATTTTAAAAAATTTAGAAATTGTAACAAAAAATATATAAAACCTAGAAGAAAATATTACAAAAGAAAAAATAACTCATATAATCAACAGAAAAAGAAAAATAAAAATAAAAGCCAATGTAAATGTTGGAATTGTGGAGAAATGTGTCATATAAACCCTGATTATGATAAAAAGAAAGTTAGAATATTACAAAAAGAATATTTAGAAATAAAAGATGAATTAAGTGAAATATCATATATTGAAGAATACTATAATCAAAAAGTATATATAAGTGAAACAGAAGATGAATCAGGATCTGAATATAGAAATTGAAGAAATAGAAAGTAATAATATAAATGTACAAGAACATGAAGGAATAGAAGGATATAGATTAAAAGTTACTTTTGATAATAACAAGTTTAGAAAATTGTAAAAATTATCTTTAGACTTAAAAATAGGAAAATATGAAGTCTTTGATAGAATTTGGAAAAGAGAAAAAATAGCAATATCACAAAATAGAAAAAATCATTGATGTAATAACAACTTATGAGCAACATAAATTAAATATTTTAACAAAAAATACAGTTGAAAAACTATTAACAAAGATTAGTAAAAAATAAAGTGAAAAAATCCAATATGTTTATTTAGTAGGAATACAAATAATGTTTAAATCACTATTCAGAGAAGGGATAGACTTACCCTTGACTATAACTTTACATGATGGAAGAATAATAAATTTAAAAGATAGTCATTTAGGAACAATAGAAGGAAATTTAGTATATCAAAAAATTATGTTTACGTGTTATTCAAAATATTGTGTATCATTAAAAGATAGAAACTTTAATGAAATTTTAGGACTACGTTTTAAGTTTCATAGAGATGATATCATGCAACCAGGTGATCAAATTATGACTATAGAATATAGAACGTTATATACATTTACTAATTTTAATTATAGAAATATTTATTCCAATAAATCATATATTGAACTTCATAAAGGGTGTAAAGATATTAATAAAATAATAGAACCAAATAAACAAATAAGTTTAATTCTAGAAGAATATGAATTTAGCATAACAAAAAAAAAAAAATCTGAAATAGCATAATTAAATGAAGGAAAATGTTCTAATAGTATAATATTTAAGGACGAAAAATTAATTAAATGATCAAAAAGTTTTAAAATATCTAATAAAAACCAGTTAAAAAACCGACAAAGTGAAAGAATTAAAACTATATAGGAATACTGAAAATATGAAAATAGAAGGAGAATATTATAATGCAAGAGAATATATAAATGGACAAAATATATTAATAGATATAGGAGCTAGTGAATGTCATATAACTTCGATTATAAATAAATGTTTAATAACTCATAAAATTGAGCTATATAAGTATGTAAAATTTGATAGACAAGTATGTATTAAAGATTTAGAAGTTAAGGTATCGATAAAAATAGGAGGAATAAGATCTTCTAGTACCATGTTACATAGATAAGAGTATGGATATAAACCCCCATATACTTTTAGGAATGTGTTTTCTAAATGGATTAAGAGATTATAGTGTAAAAAGAGAAGAATTATCTATTGTTTATAATGGACAAACTACATTATGTAAAAAAAAATTAGATGAATAATCATATAAGTTTTCCATTAGTTGTGTATATACAAATTACTATTGTAAAAACAAATATAACAACTTGTGCTTTAATAGATGCGGGAAGTGATATAACAATATTTAAAAGTTTTTTAATAAAATCATGAAATAAAAATAGTAATATAAAAATAACTGGAGTTACATGAGAAAATACTCAAATAATTAATAGTGCTGATAAAGTTAG